TTATAGGCTGCTTCAGCGGCTATCCTAACAGGCTGCACTATTCCCGTGTAGGTTATGAATGTTCACAGTATGTAGGTGTTGCAGTCGTTTATTGTTGACTGCTCGGTGAGTCGGCTAGTGGTAGAATGCTCACAAAAAGGGGGCGTCCCTCAAACAACAGACGGGGTTGCGCCTGGTCTATCTAATCTGTTCACCAAGGGTCATAAATACATTGCTAGGGGCCTAAGTCACATTCACATAATATCCTCATTGTGTCTAGATGACACTTATAATTGATGAAGGTTCTGGAGGCATTCCAGAACAGTATTATCAAAAGCTGTTTCGCGAGGTGGGGCTCCTGTAAGGGTAGGTACGCCGAACCAGCGGAAGCAGGGTCTAGGTCGATCGGAGGCAGCACAATTAAAGTTCATTTTTCTGATTGCTTTATTTACCGCTGAATAAGGTGCCAAGCATCCGAAAAGCGACAAAAAATAATTCTGCGGATAATTTCAGATATCTCTTTGGATCTTCAGAGCCTATTGCTATGAAACCTGCGGTTGCGCATTTGGTGGTAAAGCCCCCCTCTTTCGGGACAAATGTAATGTTGTCCCCAGGGAAGGATGTCAGCTGACGTCAACGGAAACATCCCGTGAAAAACGCATCCTACGGGTGCAGTTCGACCACGGAGGGGCATATTGCTTCCCTTCGATGTTTCGACCCATCTAGATAGCCTTTTCTTGAGTTGACACGTTTTACCATGGTGGCTAGACGAGCTTGTTCCAGCTTCACAAGAGTTCACAAGTTTCACCAGAGTGAGACTTGTAAACCGGAAGTAGTGAAGCAGTGGAAGTGCGAAATGCCCCCCCCCCGTCGCCGAACTGCGCCCATCCTACGCCATGTTCAAGTGAAAAGCGAAGCCACACCCCGTCCCCGCCATTTTTGGGATATGGAGGGTAGATTTATTACTAGTCATTTTTATCATAGTAGGTTCATCTCAATAATTCTATGCAAATTGCAAATTTATAGATGAACTTATGGTTCCGTTGATAATGTCTTTGCCCATAGGATCAGATAACGTAGCCTCGTTTACAGATGGAAGCAGTTTGGGCACTTTGCTAAGGCAATCTCAGCGTTCGCAAATTGGCTTGAAGTGACCACGAGCTC